TTTTTTTTGAAAAATGTACCCATGTTTTGGTACAATATTTTTTTGGTTAATTTTGATGAATGTACCCAAGTTTATACATACATACACTATATTGGAGAGCATAATTTATCATTTAATATTTTTAATTCCACAAAGTATAAGTTTTATTTAAAATCTCATTAATATAAACAACTACAAATATCATTTTTTATTTAAAAAATATAATAATCTACATAGCAATACATTATTGTATTAATGTTAGGGACTTTGATAAAAAACTGAAAACCAATAAGGTTTCAATCATAAAATATGAACAGTTAGGGACTACATCGAAAGCCTCCGTTTATTTTATTTAGTTTTATACAATCACACGTCGAAAGATGGAGAATCATCCTAAAACTTCGATTAAAAAAAATATACTTTTAATTAAGTTATGTTATTTAATTATATGAGATGTGTAGGTTATTGTACATGCAATATGATGACTGCAAGTTTGACGCATGTCATATATGGAAAGATTTGATTGTAATGTTGAAAGCTCTAATATGTTGGATGCGAGCTTGTTTCTATTCAAAGTAATTAAGTAAATCGTAAATGCTCTATAAATAATACTTTGGCTAATTAAGAGCATGGGACAAGTAATTTCATGAAAAAATTCAGTTGTTACAAGTATAACAAGTAATAACTAAGAAGCTCCAAGTATTTGGTACTCGAACATATAATTAATACATGTTACGATATTGGTGCATCTACGATCAAGTTTTTAATTTAAGGCATGGTATATATTGGTAAATCTTTGTTAATTTGGACTAGCAATAATGTAGGAGAGAATCAAACCTAAAAATACTAAACAGTAATACTAAATGATAGATATTAGTAGTTACAGGTTAAGAAACTAGTGTTATGCGTGACAGCCCGTTCTGGAAATTTTAAAACGTACACGTGAAAAGATAATTTTGCCCCTAGCGTGATTTTTTTTCGTTATGTGGTTGTTCTTGGGGTTTTGTTGGCAGGTTTTGGGCCACACACTTTCCCCCACACACACCCTCACCATTTCCTGTTTCCCTGCACCTGTCCCGTGCCATTTCCCTTCCCATTTTTCCCCTCCATTGTACGGACACACACACAAACACACCAAATCATCACAGATCGAAGAAACAAAGTACATATCCATGCTCGTGAAGTCCGTAGGAGTCCAACCATACCCATTTCAGGTAAGGATACCTTCGTTTTCATGTCGAACTCGGGATACTCCAATTTTGTCACTGTTCATGCACACGTAAATTCTTATGTTTTTGAGAATTCCAAGCTTGTAGGAAGCTTGGTTAGGTCCTTAGGAGGCTCGAGGTGGTTCGTTTGAAGGTTTTGGACGTCGGGATCGTGAGTTTCGAGGTTGGCCGGAAATGGTGGAGTTTTCCAGGTGAGATTTTGTGGATTTTAGCACTTGAAAGTGGTATAAACTTGTTCCTCTCGTTGTAATCTTCATTTTGGTACCAATTTTGTGAAATTTGGTTGAAAAACGAAGAAGATAGGACGATTTGAAAATTTCACGATTTTCTAGCGCCGGCAACGGCGCCGGAGCCTCGCTGGAGAAGAGGACGGAATATTCCTAACAGCGTTAACGGAATCCGTTAAAGTTAACGGAATATTCCTGACGCCGTCAGCGTGCCAGGCACGTGCCTGCGTGTGGCCAGCGCGTGTGGCCGTGCCTTGGCCGACGCGTGGGGGCGCGTGCGACGGTGAAATTTTTTTCTAAAAATATGGGGATATTCCTGAGGTTGAGTAGATCACGTTGGTGTATTCATACACCCCATTTGAGCAATGTATGAGAAGTTATTTCTAAAGGTTGGATATGTGCTTTAAAATTAACGTTTCTATAGTTGTTTCGCATATAGGTGAGACGTATCCCGAGGACGAGCATGGTCACTCGAGGCAAGGGGGTTACGACCCTTCTACATACTAGTGAGCGGGCTTTTGGTTTTCCGTATATACCTATATACCCATATTTTCCTAGAAATTGATTTGAAACGTTTACTCATTCATATGCCATGTTGTTTGTAACTATCATTTATGCATTATTAGTTGCGTGTATATATATATATATATATGTGTGTGTGTGTGTGTGTGTGTGTGTGGCGCTGCGGACGCACAGGTGAGTGCCAGGTGAGTATGATTTATATTTACGTTCAGTAATGATTCTAGAGACATAGAGAGCTCATAACTTGCACCCCCGGTGTTAGTGCTCCCGCCCAGAGTAGGGCACAGTCCTTCACGTGATGTTCACCTCTCGCACCACCCGCTCATCTTGGATCTAAGTTAGGTGCACAGTCCTGTCGTACAGACAACTTTAGGTGGTTCCGACTCGTAGGTGACCCGCAAGTATTCGCCCAGCATTCACGTGATCGTAGCACTTGAGCGTACCTATATTACACCCAGGCCTGTCGTACAGACCACTTTAGGTGGTTTCGACTCGTGTGCAGGTATAGTTAGTGAGATGGAGATTTGAGCTTTACTTTCAATTGTACATGTCACATTAGGTGACTCCGGCTGACATATTTCAAGGCATTTGATGTGACATTTTCCTAAGCACTTGCATATTACTTCGAGGCATTTGGCATGGCACGTTTTTCGAGCATGACTTATATATATATATATATATATATATATGCTCTTTTTTGAGAAGCATACAGGTTTTACGGCGAGAGGTTGGAATTTGTTTTGAAATGGTTTTTGAAAAGCTTTGTTTTTGCCCACTCACGCTTTTGTTTTGCGCCCTTCCAGGTTCTAGTTGGCTAGCACGTTTGGTGGCTTCCCCGAGGTCTTCCTCGGCCTATCTGACAGACTGACACCAGTGTAGGACCACCTTCGGGTGTACTTTTGTCTTGTCATTTTCTTCCGGACTGCATTAGGTTTTCGTGCTCTGAACTTTGTTACACACTTTGTTTGCACATGCATGTTACTACCTTGTGTTAAGCCGGATTTTATTTATTTGTATTATTTCTATTATTATTTTAATTTATTTGCTTCCGCACTGTGCACATGGCTTCGTCACTTCCATGTGACGGCCAGCATGCCCTGATCTCGATCAGGATGTGTCATTATGGGTATCATCAATATTATTCTATAAATAATCTATGTATTCTGTTTGACAAAGGCTATATTTATGTATTAGAAAAACCTAATCTTTTCATATTGCCTTTTTTTTTTTTGTGTTAGGCTTAAATGACGTCATATTTGATAAGTGAAGACTGCTTAGAGTTTAAGTCTCTTGAATTTATTCTTCATATTACCAATTGTTTTTAGAATTTAAAAATTGGATGCTCACATCCTAATAAATAACAAAGAAGAATCTCATTACAAGAGAGATGCAACTAATCAAATTGCTAAGGGCATACCCGTGGAAGGTCCTATGTTCGGTTCCTCCTCTTTCTCTAATATCATTCATATTAAAAAAAATAATCCTAATTTGTGTGTTTGTTTCTACCAAAAATTCATTTCAAATGGCCACTCAGTACTATGATACAATGATATTCATTTTCACTTGGAAGTGAGAGGTCCTAGGTTCGAATCCCGTGAATGGTGAATTCGATACCAAATTAGGTTGTCCATTGTGTGACTTAACCGAACTCTCTTCCTTAGTATAAAAATATCAATGTACTAACAAAAATCATTTTAAATGTTTTGAATCTGACACATAATACGTTGAACAAATAATTGAATGCTTCTCTCTTTAAAAGCTAAAATTATACTAATAAATATTAGTTTAATACAAAATTATATTAATAAAGATTTAAGAACGATGTTAAACCAATAAATTCAAGTTCAGTTAATCTAGCCTTGCAAGTCTTTATGCTGAAGAATTTGGACTTAAAAACTTGAGTTTTAGAAAAGTCACCATCTTTACGACCACTTTTGATTTGATCCTAATTAAATTTGTAATTAATTTCGATTAAAAACAAAACGCAGCCATGTAAGAATACTCATGCTGCCGCCATTTTTAATAGTCAATAACAAGTAATTGCAGGTAGCTAGCTGGGTTGTGACATTTCTGCATTCACCAAACTTTAGGTGAGCACATACACATCAAGTTAGGATGAAAATATTTCAACTTATTGGGGCTTAATTTGACTTCAAAACTACTTTCGTACAAATTTTTCTTTGAGTAAAGGATGCATTTGAAAATGGTGCAACATTTGAAATCCTTTCTTTTCTTCACTATCAAATTTATGTGAGTTTTATTAGTGAAATGTACACTTTTCAGATGCGTCATTTCATTTGAAATGTGATAGTGATTTTGGTGTAACACATCTATATTTTTGTAATTATCTCTCTCTCCTCATTTGGGTGTGACATGATGAGAGAGAGTCACGAAGAGTTATCCTCAAGAAAGTAAAAAAAAAAAATGTAAAATGTTTAGTGTCTGTTTGGTATTCAATTTGAATTCAAATTTTTAAACTCAAAACACTTTTTTAAGTTTTAAGTATTAAAAACTTGTTTAATAGAACTGTTTTTAAAAAATAAATTCAAAACTAACTTAGAAAAATTGCATATTCTCTAAAAATACAAAAAATGATATTTTAGAGTTTTTAAAGTTAAAGCACACTCTTTTCTTTTCCGTCTCCTCCCCTCAGACTCTGCGTCTCTCTCTCTCTTACTTTTTTTTCTTTCAATTCTCTCCCTTCTTTCCCTCTCTCCTCCTCTTCATCTCTTATGGTACTTTGTTCTTTTCACCTTTTCTGCGACCCCTTATTTTTGTTCAGTTTAAATTTTAAGATTTAAACATTTTAAATCTCATGTCAAACGAGTTTTTGAGTCTTGAAGTAATTTTTTTTTAAGAAATATTCTTATGATAAGTTTTGAGAAATGATTAATTTTTTTTGAATAAGATACCACACATGCCCTTAACTTTTTCTTACAATTTTTACGAAACCTTTTGCAATATACCGTATGCGTTCTACCAGTCATAAATATGAGACGATCCCAGGAAATGCGAAGTTTTTGGAGCCCAGGAGAAATTGGTGTTACACTAAACATCCTCCATATTATTATTAACCTAAAATACAACGTACAACGACACGATACTGAGAATTACAAAAACACAATAACGGTAACAATGTCGCTACATAGGCCCTCTTCACAACACCTAAAAGGCATTCAAACCCAAACTCCAATCATCCTCACCTTTATTTGTCTCTTGGTTGGATTTGGGGGGAGAACCTCGAGTTTATACATAAACTGGAAAAAGAATGTGCCGCTTACAAAATTTACCCTTAAGAGTACAAGTATTATGTTAACAAGGGAGACAGCGGCAGCTCGCCATGCGTAGTTTCTTCATACGGGTTCAAACAATGCACTGGGGTGTGAAGCGACAAAACGCTGTATGGTTCCCTCCCTTGCGCTACATGCGGCCAACTACGGTTTCTTGATCTCATCTCTTTTGAGCTTATTCTGGTATCCATAGATGTTGAAGGAGATGAGCATAACTGAGATATGGGCCGCATCCGAGATAGCCTCACGTTTGAGGAGATTTTGGCTTCGAAGTTCAGCTGCCTTTGACTAGTGGCTTTCAAGTTTACTTTTGGACCAACCACCGGAGGGAAACTAACTGAATCAGGTGAGGGGCAACTAGAGGTGTCATTGCACGAAGGAATAGTTGTGTTCAGCATCGCTCTACTCTTTTTCCAAGACAAAAATGCTTCTTGTAGCCTGGATGGAACCTGCACAACAACAAAAAGTTGTAAGAACTAGTTCAAATTCACAGTCATCACTCAAACTGCATTCTCTGAAAACAGGGCACCGTCAGTTGGATATGCAACAAAAATATTCAAAACACCAGCTGATATACCGATTAAAAGTCTTCACATTTAATGTGTCAATCACCAGCATCTGCTTTCAAATACAGAGTATTATCTTCACTCATGCAGGGTAATATAAAATAAACACTGTTGGCATCATTAAGAGTGCCCTCAACCTTCAACTTATTTCAAACAAACAAGATGGATTAGAAAGTGACAGTGTTGATGATCAAATCCATTAGACATTGCCTAACTTTTGAAGGACTACCATAAGTTGTAACTACTTGACGGATATATAAATAAGCTCCCATAAGTAAAAATCATTCGGTTAAGTGAAACTTTAAATCTGAACTACCATAATAACTGCACATCAATAGATGCACACACCCAGATTTATGGTATTCTGAAAATTTTAAACTTTTTAAACTCTTAATTCACAAGAAAACCGATCCATGGTTATCTCATTTGTACGTATAACCTACGCTCTAATGACATACTTCCTATTGACTAATTAACTCATTGTACCAACTTATACATCACTTGCGTATGCAATCAAAACTCTTCTTGGCAAGGATAGTGATTAATTGCATAGAAGCATATTTCACATGGAAAGATGTCAAAATCTGTTGTTCATATAAACAAGCAGAGTTCTTGTTTCAATCATAAAAGCAATCAAGTTCAACATTCTAAATCCTTAATGCAAATATAAACCGTCATCAGCACTAACTAGATACAAAAGATCAAGTCAAGCCTCTACAGAAGGCGATTAATGAGTTTAGAAATCTAATCGTCATGACTCATCCATCAAACAGTATACAGCGCAACTAATCATTAAGAGGACACTACACACAAGCTTTTTACCCAAGCATACCAAATCCTTATTAAATAATATAAAAATAGACCTGATGCAGTAACATATAAGTCTATGATTGCGAATCCAAAAATTTTACAAAGTTGCTTGGCTATGAGGAAAGGAAAAGATGCTGATTTTATTCAAAACCATGAGATCATTTGGACTACCACAATATAAACTTTCCTACTGACTGAGCTAATATATTGATTGGCTATGGTTTTCATTTTTGGTAATCTAAGGCCTTGTATAGCATATATATGTCTTAACATCACAAGATATTCTATTTAATAATGCTGACTTATAGCAACATTTTCATGAAGCGAAATTCCAAGAAATATGTTGTACAAGAAAAGTTCAGAACTCACTCCAGAGACAAGGCTACATGAAGCAAATGCCAATGAAGACGAAGAAAATGGAGATTTCCCAGGTTTATTTCCCTTCTGGCCATTTTTAGTTGCATCTTGATCTGCAGTTGCTGACCCAAAACTTGATGGCGCAACATCATCCTCATCTTCCTCTTCCTCTTCCTCGTCCTCGTCCTCTTCATCCTCTTCAACTAAGGGTTTCTCATCTTGCTTAGCCGATGCAGCAGAAGTATCTTCTTCCTCCTGCAAACTCATTTCCACCTTCTCTTCCTCTTTCTCTCTCATCTTTAACTCCTCATCCATATCCTCAATTACCTCTTCCAGGCACAACTCAGCCTCTACAAGTTCAAGTTCTTTTTCAATCAACTTCAACTTCACCTCACTGGCTTTCCTCTTCTCTTCAGTCCATTTCTCTATTTTTTCAAGAACGGGCTTGCATGCATTTTCCACTGCTGATACCACATGCATCCATAAATTTTTCTTCTTCACACCAACATTCCTTCCATAGAAATCATCAAAACCAAGGGGAAGGAACTCCACCTTTTTTGGGTCCACCTCTTCCCCATCTTTCAGAAGTGGCTGCCAAAATAAGCGCACCCCATATTTTTCATCATTGATATAGTTGATTAACCGTCCAGTTCGTGTGTGTAGGATTATGGGATCTTCAGTATATACAAGCTTCGATGGGTCTTCAGGATCAGGCTCTGGTTCCTTGTTAAGAAGAACAAATTCTGGAGTTTCATCTGATCAAGCAAATGTAACATACATTAGTACTAGTAGGCAACTTAACTTTGTCTTTTTTGGTGGAAGACCAAACCACGCATTTATATTCAGAGAGGCACAAAACTAAACGGAATTATATGAAGAAGCCAATGGCTCATGTGGACAGGTGACACCTCTCAAATTTTACAATGGAAAGATAAAAGGGTTCATAAAATTGAGTTTGTCGTATGTCTGGAAGATCCCTAACATTCTGCTTCTTACTTCGGTGAAAGAAGGAAAAAGAAATTCATGCATAGGTGGATGTGCAGAGCAAATTTTTTGAATGAATGCGAGATGAAGAGGGCGTATGTCTATGGATGATGAAATTAATACCCTTTGACCACCAGTATTCAAGCTCAGCAGGCATGGGTATCCTCAGTGGAGCTTTATAGAAGGAGTTCAACCACATTTCCCTTTCTTCATCAACCTCATGCACATACGTTTTCCAATAATCAGGTACCTGACAAAGAAGTATAAATACTTTTCTATGAGAAAAGAAGTATTACATGCTCAACTTCTTAAACCTGATCAATCAATTTCCTGACTAATTAAGTATATTGATTTACTTTCATTTTTTGTTACGTGAAAAATTTTACCAGCCATAAACAATTGATGATAACTTACTTCATAAAATTGGTTTATGAAGCCTGGTGCCATCCAAACATCATCATCTTCATAAAAGTAGGGATGTTGAGGATCACCATAAGGTCCCCTTTCCTCCCTAACCACTTTAAAAGAAAAGAAATTCCATTGTCATGAACAAAGGAGAAATCACAGAGTCTACAAAAGCTGAACGGATCTTATGGTATAAACCAGATCTACATGATGCAAGCATTTATAATAGTCATTCAAAGTTCCTATGTACTGAAAGTCTACAAAATCAACTAAATCTGCATTTTCTGAGAGCCAGATTATCATAAAATATTAATAATAAATGGAGCAAGGCCCCAACAAGGACTGTATTCCAACACACTAAATGTATGCAAACCTATATGGGGTGTTGAAGAACTATTGGTATCTCTTCAGTAAAAATAATATGTACATTCCATAGAATACTGAAATGCTATCATTTTTTTTGGTCAATGTCCTCAAATACTGTCTATATGGACACTTTTACACCTGAATCCGTGAATAAATATACTAACAATATGTAAGCCATATTCCTGACGATAATGGTATATGTTTTAGTGCATATTTAATTAACCTCTGGCCAGAAACGTCCACCAATAAAAGTTGAGTACAAATTTTCAGTTTCTACAAGATACAACAATTCGCAATTTAATTTTATGGAAGGCAATTATTGGTATTAAAAACATACTTCCATCAGGCTTGTTCACAAACATCCGAGCCTTAGCAGCAGCCACTTCTGCAATACCCGCATGCATCTGAAAAGCAACCAACACATTAGAGAAATCTTCACACAGATGGTAACTTTCGCCTCTGTATAATACGTCAAAGAATGAACATATATTTTTACCGCTGATACATCCTCATCACAACCAGTATCATCCTCCACTAACTCCCCAAAATAGAACCGACCCTGCATGCAAATAGAACGTAAGGTACCTTAACTCAATAACCATAATATAGTATCAAGCTGTTATACACTGAGGAATGCAAACAAGGGCAGAACTTTCACATTATTTGGTGCCGGAAATTCTTGGCATGCCCTACAGGTCATTTGATTTCTTTCCACTGTAAACTTTTTTCCCTGGCATCCCCTACAAGCATCTTTTATTGCTAAAAAGTATACTGGGATTTCCCACTTTCCCACAATTATTAGAGATAGGCTGTCGTTGTAACCTAGGGATCTAATTTTGAGTTAAGAGATGTTATTAAGTTGTTACGAAGCCCTAGGGTAGTTTACAACTTGGTCTACAACTCGTAGATTGGGAGACGGGGTCTATATCATATTAGGATTAGAAGTAGCAGAAAACAATAAGAAAAAGTATCGATGTTTTATGGAACATTGGTGGCCTCAATTCACAGGAATAGGAATAGTCATACCAGTATCATTATAGGTCAAGGGAAGCTATAGATATTCTCCTAAAATATAAAACTGAAAATGAAACTTGAAGAAATATAAAAGTAACTAATGATGCATCACTGAAAACTTACAGTTCTGAACTTCATAAAAGAAAGCAAAGCATTTATACCGGTACATCAGTTTTGGTATTAAAGCTATTTTTTTCCAAATCAACTAGCCATGTCTTGAATTTCAACAACCCTCTTTCTAGAGAATAATATGTCTTACTACCCCATACATGGTTTAACCTAATTTCTTGGATGTTGCTTTGTGTATTTTATTGTGACAAACAACAGGAAAAGGTCTCAATTTGTACTCGATAAGAGGCAATAATTCTCCACGCTTTTGATTTCTTCCATATCTTAAAGCTTACTCTATGTGTTCAGTTATTTTTTTAAAAGAAATGGCTTAAAATTTCATGCACCTACATAAATGGTACGCTCGTTGATTTCATATACCCCACATCCATGCATTCTGGCATGCTTCCACTGACCAGCATAACGATATCGACCTTTCTCCCTGACAAAGAAAGATCATTAGATAAAATCACAAAACCAGTTTCAGAAAAAGAATATCTATTTATATCTTGTACAGCTGTACAGTAAAATTTGCAATGGCTTGATAAATGGTAAATGAAAATTGTAAATTACAAGCCCTCAGGCCCATTTCACCTCTTCTGTTTAGCAAAAAGGTATATATGCCAAAAGCTAGCTACTCTATACTCACATCTAGACTGTATGGGACTATTTCAGCATCAGATATTTGCTGGTGGCTTGTTACCGTGAAAATAAGATCCTACGGGTTGGCTACTAAAGAAGGGGAAGTGGTATCTTAGTCAATACGACACCACTTTAGGAACTCAAGCCCATTGACCAGCTATCTTACTTGATTTTACTTGATAATCCATACAAATAGCCATATCAAGATTACATATTGAAAAACTAACCACATCTTACAATCTTAAATAAATCAAATCATTAATATTACACAGAATTCATCAAGAAACAATCCTGATTACAACCGATGTAACATAGAAGCCTATAACTTACGGTTTCCTCCCAAATTGTCTGATCCACTCTTCACTTTCATAAAAGGGTACTTCAGTCTGCCCGCCTGCTTGAAGAATGCTGTCTTCAATATCCATCTCCAGCCATTTCTTATCTTCTGGGGTCATATAATCTCTTGATATTATGTGCCCTTCAGCACGCATTTGCGCTTCAAGCCTTACAAGAGGGTAACAAGTACCTCAATTAGTTTATACTGCACAGAAAAAACTCTTAAAGAACCAACTGCCATGATATAGCAGGGCACATATATATAGGGATAATAAACTTACTTGGAACCTGGAATAGGCTCTATATCAGGTATATCAACTTCAACAACCCCATGACCCTCCATGTTATTTTGAAGCCATTCACCTTCATACCTACAAAAAGGATATGAAATTTTATTTCTCACATAAAAAGAATGAACTAATTGCAAGCTAGCCAAATTAATAAACTTAGATAAACATAAACAGGGTGGGGGCCTCAGACAAGGCAAAGTAACAATGCCCATTTATCTATTTATTTTTTCTAATATATTGAACTTAAAACTACTCTAACCTGACGGAAAAGAACCATAGTGATAGAGCAGACTATATGTCCTGCATAAACTCTTTGATACAAGCTTTGTCCACCACACCCTAGGATGCAAATGTCAAAATACTCACTATCCCAGTCATACACCCCATCAAAACAAAATAAAAAAAGATACGTTCGCTCAGCCTATCTTTCTTTCACATTTCTGTGTCTTTTCATCATTCTCTTCTAGCCATTTTAAAGATGTCCACGATAGTCGTCGACATATAAGAGTACTGGTGACAACTGAAATTAGTAAATTATATACAAACCTGACAAGTCCCTGCTCGGCAACGTAGACTCCTTTCCCATGAGCCAAGTCATCCCAGACAGTGCCCTCATACCTTCAACAAAGACCATCATAGCGTAATGTGATAAGAAACACTGATAAGTTAAAACACCAAAAAGCAACAACTTTTAACATAAACGGAGTAAAAATACAATCTTTGCAGCAATGTAGAGAATGAACATTCAATTGACAAACTAACTCTACACAAATTTGAATGCAGTAAAGAAAGAAACAAAAACATACGTGCTTCCATCTTCGAAAACATAGCTAACCCATTTGAGAAACTCCTCAATCCTATCCATTTCCTCAATCACAGCCTTGGGATTGGAAATGTCATAGTGGTCATCCGGTATAGCTGGGTAAGGCTTCCGGTACGGGACATAAAACGGGGCAATTGGAGGGTCCTTGCCGGCCTTAATCTCCTCCCGGACAATGTCCCACTCTTCCTCATCAGCCCAAACCGGGTCCCACCCGGGGTTGGTCATCTCCAACGGAGCGTCCCCCCATAACTCCTTCAAGTCCTCCTCCCTCCAATTCTCCGGGTCCTCCTGGAAAATCGAAAAGGTCCTCATAAAAGACATAGCTTTCGTCCTCCTCGTCCTGCCTTCTCCTCACTCTCTTCCCCTGGAGCACCTGAGAGAAGAGCTTCATGTTCACCTCGGGTGTATTATCGGCCTCGGGAATATCTTCACCGGGTCGGATGTACTTGAGTGAATCATCCGCTTCACCGCCATTTGGGCCGCCACCACCTCCATCTCCTTCGTACTCGGACGACTCGTCGGAGTCGTACTCAGACTCTGAGTCGTCGGAGGAGGAGAGATTTGCTTTTTCCTCATCTGGGTCGGAATTCGAGTCGGATTTTTGGTCCTTGAGTTGGGATTCAGTGGGTTTGGGCGACTCTTGGTCCGGCATTGTTGGGGGGTCATGGGGAAGAAGAAGAAGATAAGGTAGAGAAGCAGCTGCAGAGACAGGGTTTTTGCCGTTTGGTGTTCTTTACACATTAAAATTCAAAAAAAACACAAAAAACAAATTAAATCTTGGCCCATGTCTTGAATTTGGGCCTTGGTTACTCAATCGAAGACCAAATAAACTGGAAATTTTCACATGGGTCCAAATTTGACAAACGTAAAGGCCCAAAACTATTTCCAACAATCAATATTTTAAATTGCTCTAATATATGAAAAACAGATCAATGTGCAAGTAGGCAAGCACATTGCCTTTACATCCAGTGTTTGAAATATCCTAGATATGCTTGATACTTCTACAAAAATATCTACAAATTCATGGAACGATATGGAAAGAGGGGGTGAAGTTTAGACTTCACCCCATATCCACAATATTTACGAAAATCAGTCAATTTCATCGATATTTCGATATTTTCAGGAAATATCCAGTGTTTGCAAACAATTTGTAAAAAATTTGTGAGAAATATCTATGAGCCTATGCATTCTCTTTTTTTTTTTTTTTTTTTTCATTTCTTTCTTTATGGTTTTAGTTTACTTCAATAAAACTTGTACTGCTTTCATAACAAAAATTTCAATTAAGTTATGTATAATTTATTTTTTCTAGTTTTATTTTATTACTTGTCATTATAAGGAAGTTTTTCTTCTCACATATCACATACTTATTGTGTAACATCCCACATCGTCCAGGGGAGTAGATCTTGTAAGCCTTATATGTATATTCCCATCCCTACCTAGCACGAGGCTTTTTGGGAGCTCACTGGCTTCGGATTCCATGGGAACTCCGAAGTTAAGCGAGTAGCTCGCTAGAGCACTCTCATGATGGGTGACCCATTGGGAAGTTTCTCGTGTGAGTTCCCAGAAACAAAACCGTGAGGGCGTGGTCGGGGCTCAAAGCGGACAATATCGTGCTACGGTAGTGGAGCGGGCCCGAGATGTGGTGGACCCCAGGCCGGGATGTGACATATTGTTTACACAATATCTAATCATTAATTCTTGATTCATACGTGTATTGTGGCTTCATATGACATTCCCTAAAAAATAAATTTAAATTTCCATGTTTGTGAGCAAATTTCCATCATTTTCATCGAAGACAATCGATATATGATATATTCATTGATATTCTGCCTATCGATATTTTCATTGATACCGATATTTTAAACATTGCTTACATCTACCTTTTTCTAGATTCTTTGTGGGGGGTGGTTTTATGTTTTCCCAAGTTATCATCCTACTTCGTGTAGTATGGTGATAGTGCTTCAATTGCAATTGTAAATTGTTGGTTGATTTACTACAAGATGATACCACTGTTCTAAAAATCTCCACCTAACATCTGGGCTTAGCGCAGTCTAGGCTCCACCCAGGCTAGACGGCTGGCCACCGCCCCGATTAGTTCTTAAGCATTTGAAAATTAAGAAAGTGTGTTTGGACCCACTTAGGCGTCCGCCTAACCCATCTATGTGCCTGCCTAAACCCGTATAGTTTGCGACTCATATTGTGTTTTAATTTTTCAATAAAATGTAAGAGACTTGTTGAATACTTGGATGAACACTCATTATATGTTTGTTCCTATGTTTTTAATACGTTTTAATACTTTATAATTTATATGTCATTTATTTTATAATTTATGCATCCCAAAATAATTGTGTGGGTTTTTTTTTTATTTTTTTTAAAAGTATAAATATGCACTTATTTATACCATATATAATAAATTTACTTAAATCTACCTAGGCCTTGCCTAGCTACCTAGGCGCTAGGCCCGAGCCCACTATCTAACTAACATCTAGCTTCTTTTATAACCTTGAGTTTTAGAAATAAAATTGGATCTCTTGAGTTGTTTAGAATTTAATTAGATTATTATACACCCTTGAATTATAATCAAACATTTGGAGTGTAGAAACCAAAACTGCTAAGGAGAAGAGAGGAGGTGCCACTTGATTGGCTTAACTTGATGAAGCCAAAAAGATGCATCCAACTTACTGAAGTTTGAGGGAAAAAGAAGTTGGTTTCTCTTAGTTCACGAGAAGTATGAAAATTTGAAGGCTGATTACTTCGTATTATATATTGGGATAGCAATTTTTCTCACTAGTTTGGTTCCCGCGGCCTTCGTCCTTAATGGGTCGGGTTGAATAGAGATGGAATTTTTTTTTTTTTTTTAATCAAATTATCATATCAACCGAATTACCAACCGTACTCTATTGGTTTTGCGTTAAACTTTTTGTGTCACTTGGTAATGGCACGGTAGTGTACCGAATTGAAATTTTCTGGTACGATATTCGATATCACGGTATTACTGTACCATACCGAAAATATAAATATTATATATATATATATATATATATATAGTGTTTAGTACATGAAATATATATAGTGTCAATTACATGAAAATATGCTAGATTTGTGTTGGTGTGCTGTTGCCTATGCTTTTTACTATATGGTTGTTGCCTGCAGTTTTTTTATTGTCTGTGCTTACTACCTACTTGCTTCAAGTATTAAATCATCTGAAAGGTAATACGGAGTTATATGATTGTGCAGGTAAAATTGAGATAAGGGCATAAAAATTGAAAAAAGTGGGCCTTGAATTGGGCTGATGAAAAAAAAAAAAATATATATATATATATATATATATATCAGATTTTGGCCCAAAAAAGTTGTCCAAAACAAAATGGTAATTACTATTACCATACCATGTTAACCGAACTATTTAGCATACCAAACTTCGATAATACTGAAAATTTGGCATGGTAATGGTAATCGATTTTACAATGTTAAAATTTTAGTATGGTAATTAGTACGAGAATTTTGGTAATCGATTTTATAGTGTTAAAATTTAGTATGGTAATTAGTACCAGAATTGACTTTTTAGAGTAAAAATATAATTTTTCATTAAAGTGAACAGTAATATGAGCTTTTCGTTAAAGCTCCCTCTTTTTTTTACCAAGGCACTAATTATGTCTGATAAGTAGCACTTTACTTAGTGCAATTACTCTACAATACAACAGAGGATTGAATACTCTATAAAATTGAACGATCATATTTGAACACTCTGATTTAACTGGTACTAAAAAGATAATTTCATACAGCTACAAATTTAGGCATCAAATACCACGGAGCATTGTAGCCACACCCGGTTTTAAGAGATGATAACAAACTTACGACTTCAAATACAGAGGTAATGCTCAAATCAATTGAGCTAAAAGCTGCTTTTGCAATTACTTTACCTATCTTCAAGAACATACACATGTAGCTGCATTGGATTCTATATTGCAATATACTATGTAGTGTTGGACCAAAACAATTGGGAAGGTGACCACTTTGTCTTTACCTAGTTTCTCTTTAGTGGAAACTTTACAAGCAGATAATAAAACCAGAATTTTGCTTCTGTGAGCACATACATATGTATTAAGTGCCGCCAAAGTAGCTACCAGAAGAAAGAACTCAACCGACAACCAAACCAATTGAAGAGAGAATTAAGAGCTTTCTTTCCGCAGTGCCTTCACGTGAGCTTTGGGACTACAAGTAGTAAAAATCTTGTTTACTTCCCAACTGTGTCTAAATTCACTCAGCCTCAACTTCCTATCTCCTTACCTGTTTGCAAATTAATTGGAAATTTTATTTAATGCCATTTCCCAAAATCACCTACAAAAGATTGTAAGTTTTCATGGGTTATAATGTAACACGCGTAACTCAGTAGTAGTACCAGTAGCGGCACTTATACATAATCTCAGAAGTTTATGTATAAATCAATCGCAAAAAGAACTTACTGCGCTTGTGATTTTATTCTCTCTTTTAAGAAGAGGTATTCGGTTCAAATCTCGTAGAGAGTTAAGAGTACATGCATAAACTTAAATATCCATATCTACTTTAGATGTAACTGTTGCATTATATTAAAAGTAGGATCTGCAATCTGGTAATTAGCTCTCCAAAAGTTTTCTTAATAAAGGAGAATATGAAAATAACAAGAAATGAAGGCCCTTGAGTTGGAAAATATGAAGGGTATCAAGGCTTATGTTTCTGTGTGTAGATGTAGTCCAAGTGAGCTTCAGCCATTATCCTTCTCTTTGAACAGTCCTCATCTCCATCAACACAATCCTCCACTCCCATAAGCTGCTACAATATAATAATGTATCCCAACAGAAAAGCAGTATAAGACATATATTATATATAGTATCTACTTGATGAATTACTCGAGCTAGGGTTAGGAAAAAAAAACAAGAAGAAAAAGAAAAAAGAAAAGAACTTAAACATACATCCATTAATTCACTGCCTTCCAATCCTACAAGTGAACCCCCATGAGCCATTTCATTGAGCAGCACCTTCTCTTGTCCTGTAAAGATGCCGAAGATTATATATTGCCAAGAAGAAGGGAAGTTAATGAATAACAACTTCTCTTTATTTCAATTAACAGAAGAATTCGAATTTCAGATTTTTTTCATTGATGTAATAAAATACACTGTTACTAAACTAATAGCTATTTGGTGTACACTATTACTAAACTAATAGCTAGTTGGTGTAATGGCACAAATGTTTTACCTTCTTTGTTCGCTAAGAGACGGGTCGATAATGTTGAGGAGAAAAGGATGAAAAAAATGCAGAGAACAAGAACAGCTCCTGATTTGAAGCTTTGCTTCATAGCTTCGAATTCAAATGAGAGAGAGAGAGAGAGAGAGATGAGCTTAAAGATTTGGAACTTGAGGTGGTAGAAGAAGGAAGAAGAGGATGGAGATAAATATACATGCAAAAAGAAAGCAGCAGGCACTCACTTAGCTTCTGTAAGTCAAATAAATCACATGAAGGATCCCATCTAAACAAGGCCTGCAGTTGCAACACCTCTCCTCTCCGCTAAGGTGGGGCCAACCAGCACCATGCTTTTGTGTGACAACACCTCTCCTCTCCACTACTTTGATATATGATATATCATATGTATATGTGTGCGTGAGAGAGGGCTTGCTGCTGGTTTGGTCATTGCCTATCTTTATGTTTGTCTGCCATATAGTGGTCCAAAAGAGCCCAAACACACTAAAAACATCAATGTTATATCGTGGTTGACAGCGTCCACAAGTCAACCTTTCGGTCAAGCTGACAGCTGCTGCCATCGTTACAAAATTTTACCTGACTTATATAGACATAACATGATACACCGCTACAATAATATTATCTGTTAATGAAATGAAAATGTATGTTCTTATTTAATTGGTGTAGGAAGACAGATGATACTGTATTGGGTATGTTGTTCTCATTTTACGTGTCACCATCTGATGACATGTGGCATCAATACCGTGTTGTCTGGTTGTAAACTATATGAAGATGAAATGACTTCTTACTAAAAATGCAATGTCTTACAAGTGCTCCACATCACATGTATGTATTTACTGGCATCAGTGATCAGACCATTCCTATATTTCTACCGAGTTTCTATGCTATTTAAACCAATCCCTAGCATATATTTATTGATGATATATGTGCTAGCGCACAATTTGATCACAACTTTGTTTAGTGAGCTCTAAATCTTTTATGTCTCCTAAGATAAGATGTCTATGTTGATTATGTGATTCAGATTCACAACCAAACAATTAGGGCATTAATCAAGTTAATTTTATAATTTAGTCGACAACGTAAGTATATTTATCCAGCAGCATAAGCATATTTTTAGGAACATAATAATTCTATTACAACTGAAGTCTAACAAGAAATCATTGCTCTATAAATTAATATATATATATATATATATATGTATGTATGTATAAATCTGTGTCCTTAATCTTGTTGATTATGCAATTATGATATAAATTTGAACATGAAAATTTTATATTTGGGACCATAATCATTTATATAGTTTAACAACAAACTATGTGAGCAAATATTAGGGTTTTCATGTACTTATACTTCTACGCATATGTCTAAATTTGATTAAAAAATAAAAAAGATCAATGTCCTAGAATATAGAACAATTCCAATCTATATGCATGTGGATATTTTGAACCATTTGAACCATGCATATCTTTTTTTTTTTTTTTTCCTTCTTAAAAAAGAATCAACTAATGGCTTCGCCATAACAGTTTACCTTTACGATAACCAAAAAACCTATAAAAATATTTCAGTCTACACCTGACCTCTATCGTTACTCACCAAAACCAAAGAGAACCATGTGTCATGATTCTTCTTAATAAAGAACGGTAAAGGAGATTATGCTTTCCTATTGGAAGGTTTGAATCCATCATTTATTGTTTGAACATAAACAATTATCGTAGCAAAGGTCATTATTGGGTTTGGGTTCTGTGAATACTAACTTATTCTCTAGGGAACTGAGAACACGACCATGATAACTCATGAAATGATGAAATGTTTGACCAAGTTATGTTATGTGACAATGGCATTGGAAACTCATTATTTTGTTGTTGATATCTTATAACAGGTAATATTTGCGTATTCACATATGATTATTTAATTTTTGTTTTTGTCCAATGATAAACTAGCGCATGTTTTGTTGTTTTAAAAAAATAATAAACATGTTATTAATTTTTTTTAGATTTCAAAAATTAAAAAAACACATAACATTTTTTTACTGAACCAAATCAGAATGTGAGTATATAAATTATTCACTACTGAATACCTAAGTATTATCCTCATATAACCCATTACTGGTTTTAGTGCATGATTATATTTTCTAATATGTATTAGAGCATCTCTAATGCAGAAGAAAAATTGAAATCAAATATGCTATTTGAGTCTAATATGAGTTCAAGCCTCTGTTCGGCTATTCAACGTTGGGTTTTGGTGTAAAAGTTGAGTCCATCTCATGCTGTTAAGAAAAATGTTATTCAACCAAGAAAATTTGAGTTATGAATTCAATTAATCAAATTCTTATACCCAAATTGCTAAAACTCAAAATTTGAGTATCGACTTCGATGCTTTTTTTCTGATACAAAGACTCAAATTTTAAAACTCTAAATATATGCAAATGGTTTTAAGAATATAAAACTCAACACTTTTTGGACTCAAATATAAGTTTAGTTTTGAAGATTTGAGATTGGACGATGGCTAGGGTTTGTATACGCTGCAACCGGAACATTGACATTTTAAGTGTGTATTGACTATGCGTTTTGCATCATGTAATGTCGTGTGTTTGATAGAAGTGGTGTGGTGTGCTTATCACTTGCACTCAAGTTTGACTTCTTTTCCCCAAAAATTAGTCATTTAGAATATCAATCATATAAATTTATGTGCTCGAAATGCACCTTAGCTAGTAGTCACCTATCTAAATGAAATCTTGTTTAAAATGGAACCATAATCACTTCATCTTTACCCAAATGTAAGCTACAGACAAAAGCCACTATATGCTCCAATTATTGTGCCAAACTATTCATGAACTGTATTACCCTTTTTTTGTAACAACTTTTAGACTGTCACCTTTTTTCCACCATCTTAAAGTTTTCAGAATTCGGGCACCGGCATAAATTGGTCGCTTTGTAGTTCTGCTTTCTGCTGTTGACATTGACTTCTCCGTTCTATTTTCCTGTTCACTAATTTTCATGCTGTATTCTCGCAATTTCGTGGAAAAGCAGGAGACGTATGAAATATAGAATCGTCTATCTTCACAGTTAAAAGTTCAGTATGATTCTAATTTATTTTTATTCTTTTTCTCTGGTTACATACGACGTTATTGATTTGATTGTATCTCATGCATGGATAAGTCTTCCTTGTTTGGCCGTCCAAACTGCAATGTTTTAATTTATTAGGCCACATATAAATCGCTAAGACCATTTGATACAGCTCAGAGATTCTCTCTCTTTTTGTGGATGAAGAAAAATTGTGCTTCTTTCACCTTTTGTTTCATGTTATCAAATGCATACTTCTCCACCAGAGACTTTCCACAAAATCAAAGTGCCCTAAACTATGGGATAAATGTTTGATATAATTCAACCCTCTAAAGAATGATTTTCTAGAGTATGACGGATAACTATTTCTCTTCTAGGTTTTAGTTTGTAATTTTTATTTCTTTTATCGTTTTTCTTTTTTGTTAGAGAGAGAAATTTTTTTATAGAGGACCGAAACAATCCAGTGTTTCCAACTAATAAAAGGGTATCACTTACATCCAACAGATTTCGATCATGCATTTTGAACTCAAGATAGCTCAAACAAAGAGGTAACCAAATGCTATTAAACCATATGATCATTGGCACTCCAACTTTCAACATTAGCGCAAGTGGTACATTATATATGCTTGTGAATATATAGGGTTTTGACCTGGCAACCGTTGCATCTTGAGTTCGATACTCTACTCTCCCCCTTCTTGTAACATTGAATAGTTTCAAACACGGAATCTAGCCTACTCCTGTTATCGTACCCACCCTAACTACTTGGGTTTCGGACACGGGTACCGCAGAAGTTTGTCATTAATAGCATTTAACCCAAATAATCATAACAAAACTACCGGTTTAGGCTTTTAGCCCAATTGAGTTTGGGCCATTCCGAGCCCAAGAAAACATTATGACCCTGGTTTCTCTTGTCCAGTTCAACTTGTGGATGGCCCAACTTTCCTCTCTTTGTTTCACTTCAAACCCAATAATTTTGCGAAGTTAATTTGTTGATAGCCTATACAATTTTTTTTCCTTAATTTTTTGATACTCATTTCTATTAGGCGGACGAAAATAAATTAGTATTGAATTAGTCATTTACGACTTACAAACCTAATGTCTTTTACTTACAAAATTAAGAAGAATACCGGCACATTTGTTCTTATTTTTCCATGGTTACAACATTCGTTTCTTTTTTATTTATCTTGCGACATGGACACCCTAACTTGTAGTATATATCTCAGATAAGAACCTTCGAGCTTCAATCACAAAATTGGCGGCAACACATAATATCTTCCCTTAGATATACTTTAATTAAATATTTATATAAATTATGTGTTGATATACTAAATACAAAACAATCCATACAAGAAGAAGAGAAGGATTTCTTACCTTATTAAATTGAGCAAACAATAAAACCAAATCAGAAGTCAATCCAGCATTTGGGTTGGTAATTACGTATATGCTTTTTACACCTACTGAATTTTAGACCTACGAAAAAATGGGCAATTGGACCTTCTCCAACCCCGTCACTTGGTATAAATGCAAAAGTGCTACGCGTGTGTGGCTGCTAAAGGGCATGAAATTTAAAATCCAAAAAATGGCATTACCGACCAAATTGAAGAAATTTTGAAAATCAACTTAATTTTTGTGCCTTTTTAAAGGCATTTAGATTTTCTTATTATTTTATTTTACCGCTTTATGTCTAGAATTAAATTAGATTAAACAACTTATGTTATTTGATTTTTCCACGAAAATAAAGAAGGATTATACGAGATTAATTATTCACAATAGTGGTGTGTGAGGAATTAGACAAAAATGAAACTTGTCCAATCTAATCCTACCATTTTGTAAGGATTGAAAAATACAAGTTTTGTTAATAAGTAATTTTTCTTCAACAGTTAAGTCTGTAATTTTTTTTTTTTTTATCTATTTCTTCCTTTAACATACTTTGAAAATAATAAAAAGTGATGTTATTCACACCTCCAGTGTCTTATCCCACTCACATTTTAATGAATTTTCTAATTATAATTTTGTCCATTTGTAAAATGACTGCTAAGGACATTATTTATCCTCTTTTGCATTATTTGTTTTTAAAAAAGCTTGAACAAGATAACTCCCACGCTCTATCTAAAACAAGGTTCTAAAAGACGCTAGGTGCTAGTCGGGCTGTGGGCTGGGGCTTAGCGCCTAGGCGGACTAGGCAGATTTAAGTAAATCTATTGCATTTTCGTGAAAATAAATGTCTGTTTATACTTAAAATATATATAATTTCATCATAAACTAGAAAATAGAATGAATATATATTATGAAGTATTAGAACATAATGAAAACATGGGGAACAAACATTTAATGTGTGTTTATTTAAGTGTTCAATAAGTCTCTTACAATTTATTGGAAACAATAAAATGCAAAAGGAAAGTTATCTATTTTCTATCTAAGTGAGTTGAAACCTAGACAAGTGTCTAGGTGGGTCTGGACGGGCTAGGCGGGCGCCTCAGCAAGTCTAGGCTCTCTTTCTTAATTTTCAAACGCCTAGCCATTAATCGGGACGGTGGCCAGCCGCCTAGGGGGTGCTAGGCAGGGATTTTTAGAATAGTGGTCTAAAGACGAATCCTAACTCATCCTTTCATCTCCTTTCATTTAGAGAAAGCTAAAAAAAAAAAGGACTTAGAAGATGACTTTTTTTATTGAAGAGGTAAAATGTGACACTTCTATGGAAGAGGTAGAAAATTATGTTTCCATTGAAGAGGTAGAAGAATAATTTTGTGTGTGGATCATTTGAATTTATTGTTGTCGAAGTTTATCCATGAATTTGGATACCTATGTGGTTTTCCATTTGAATTTGCATACTTATGTGGTTTCCATTTGAATTTACACACCTTGATGGCTTTGAATTTATATTTGATTTTGCCAACTATATTACTTTGAATTTATATTTGATTTTGCCTACTATATTACGATTAGTATTAGCACATATTTTTGCCACCAAACTTTTCATTTGAATTCGCGTACTTGTGTTCTTGAAACCTTTGAAATGATGGATGTTCAAGCGGCAGGTTTAGATACCTGATACTCCTGATGTTTTTTCCTTCAGATTGCCTCTAATACTATCTCAATAGCAAAAGCTATAGCACCACATCCTCCAGATGTATCGATTACTTTGAGATTTGCAGGGTTTAGTTTTGACGTCACTGAAGACTTCACTTGCTCCTTTGACACTCCCATCTCTGTCCTCTCTTCCCTCTGATTTTTGCTCGCTTTTCTTTCTTAATTTGAGTTTTATATTTTACTTGTTTATATATTTTTTTAAGAGACAATTTTATAACTTCATATGTGTGTGTGTGTGTATATATCATATAGTAAGGTTTATCTTGAGAATAATAGTAAGTGGGGAAATAACATTTCAATTATTTAATTTTTTTTAAGTGGTAGGTGAGATTATAACATGAATGAAGAAATAAGACAACAAGATAAATCTAATAGTTCTCATAATAAATTATTTAATTTAATCTAATCTAAAACACCACACGGAGAGTCTGAGCAATCCTTGTTAAGGAGAGCTCGTTCCTACTTGACAATGACTTGTAGATGACAATTAGGAAGTTGTAGAGACCAAATACAAATCAAGAAAATTAGCTATACTAAGCGAGACATCTCACGTATGCGTGATTATATGATTCAATTTCCCAAATAAATACCCAATATGTTTAAATAGAGAAAGCTAATTATTGAGAAATTATTGATGCGATATGGGGACCAATATGGCCCACTCCATGTCAGGAAATACCGAGGAACGTCAGGGACAGGTGGGGAGGGCGTCAGGGTGAAAGCGAAGTGAAGAGGCTATCGACCACTTGTTGGCAAGCAAAGCTGCCAAAGCACAAATTGCAGACTGCTCCACCTACCACAACCCATTTTCTCCACCATGCCCCTGCTCACCCAACCAAACTCTCTTTCTCATTATTTTGTTTAATATTATGTATTTTTACTTGTAAGTAGAATATTACGATTGATTCCCGTTAAAAATGACTTTGAATTATATTATCGTTAATTCATTGTGAGGCTTACCTCATATAATTTGTTCAAAAGAAAAAAAAATATATAAATATTCTTTATATATAGGATGATGCTATTTACATATTATTTTTTACCTTCAACATTCTTTTCAACTTTTAGCATCAAATTAAATGAATTGGAAAATTTCAAAGAATAAAAATCAACCGGAGATGTGTGATAAGACCACCCTTTATATAGTCACCCACATAATCCTATCTTATTCTAAATCACCCACGTAATCCTATCTTAACATTGTTTATTCTTATACTTTAATCACTCTTGTATATAATTTTGGTCATAATCCAATCATTTAAGGGTAGACCAAGCTTTCCTTTCAAGATATAAGACTATGGACACATTTGTTTTGGGAGGCAAATTGTCTGTCCTCTTGTTTGGGTGCCCTTTCCATTCATTCTTATTTTGTACGATCACGGTTAAGCTACGTCAACATTTTATATTGATTTTTTTTTATATAAATAATAAGACAAAAAACAATAGGAATATAAAATGTTGATATAACTTAACCGTGACCGTACAAATAGGAGTGGATGAGAATGACATCCAAAGAGGAAGGCAAACAAATTCACTTTACATCTTTGAAACTAGGGACTTGAAAAATTTATAATTGGTCTATGAACTTTCATTATAGTTTATAATTTGTCGTAAACTAAAATTTCATTAATTGAGGTTTCTAAATTTAACAAAATGTCTAATATATTCAATTCTAATATGTGTTTACAGACCAAATTTAAACAAAGGTGAAACAATTAAATATAAATTCGGGTGAAAGTTTATAAATCGCACAGATGGACCAATAGTACATATTTTGTTAACTTCATGAAAAGTTGGGAGACCAAATCCAATCTGCAATGAAAGTTGGGGACCAATCCTCATATATATATGCTAAGTATTTGCTTCTTGCATCAACCACTGAAAGCCATTTATTAATGTAAACTCTACCTTATGATCTCAATTACACAAAATTTGTCGATTTTCACGTATGCGGACCGAAAATTGCCGATGAAATTTTGCTTTAAAACGAGAGTAGTTTTCTATAGTAGAAGGTAATTTCACATTTGTAAGAATAATGAAAGATGGTGATATTGTTGATGGAACTCATTTGGTTGGTTGGTGAAGCCGTGAAAATGGGGTAGAAACAAGAACAAAGGTAAGTGCATGAACCCCAACTCCAAGTTTATTCTTCATGTAGTTTGGAGACTTGACTTATTCGCAATAGCTTCAAATCAAAACTTAGACTTGTATCGCTCGGTTTTGGTTGGTGAAAACATGCCTTGACAAGTGTTTCAACAACCCCAAGCACGAGCCTCTCCAAACATTCTCATCCATTCACCTAAATTGTGCATCTTTTGCATGTTTTTAATTTGAAAAAAAAGGACGGCAGTGCTTGCTTGCTTATACTTAAAACATACAATGATAAATACTTAATTGTCGAAAAAAGCATTTGAATTTTTAATCTCCGAAAAAATATGAAAAATAAGTTAATAACAAAATCGATATCATATTTTGGAAAAATGATGAATGACTTTTCTAAAGAACCACATGTTGCTAAAATAACACTAATTTTCAACAACTGACAATAACGTTACGAATCAAACTGTAATCTTCGAATACAGACGGCACCACAAACAAAAGAAAAATAATCTCCAAAATACAAACAAAAAGGAAAAGAAAAAGAATTCTAATTGTTCATTGTTACACGTGACATAAGAAAAGTTGAGTGAAAAAATGTAAAACTACAAATAAATATAATTACCCAAACACCAAATTCCAAGTTGTATTCACTTGGTTGTGATCACATGGGCCCACCCATCGATCCGGATTCAGATCCATCGAATATTAAAAAAATAATAATAATAAAAAAGGGTAGGTAAGCGAATGAGAGAGAAAATCGAAAAACATCAAATTTTCTCCCAAGTCCTTGTTCTTTGTGGTAATAATTTTACAATTTCGGGGCCTCAGGAATCAAATAATTGCACTAATCACCCCCCCTGGAAGGACTCCAAGGAGTCATGTCCATGGGGTAGCTTCCCAGGACCCTTAAGAAGGACGTGAACTCCTGCACCTCCGCCAGCGCGTTCTGTGCCCTGACCTCCGCCATCGATGCCTCGAAGTCCACGTAGAACAGGTACTCGAAGTGCTTCGCCGTCCCCTCGTTCGAATCGCTCACCAGCCTGATCGGACGGTTCCGGTGCGGCCGCGACTCTATCTTCGTCAGGCTGATGTTCCGGAACGCGAACGCCGATAGGACCTTGAACAGCACCGACGTCCCCTTGTCGTGTGCGAAGACGATGCTCGTCTTGAACGGCCGGTCCGTACGGGGGATGATCGGCTCCCGGGCCAGCATCACGAAGCGTGTCACGTTGCTCGAGTCATCCTGGATCCCATTCTCCAAGATCTCCATGCCGTAGAGCTCGGCGGCTCGCGCGGAGGCTATCGCTGCCGTGTCCCGGAGGTTGTTGGCGGCGACGAACTCGGCCGCGCCTGCGGTGTCGTCGACGGCCTCTCGGGCGACGTTGAGGCCGAGTTTGGTGAGAGTCAGCTCGCATTGAGCTAAGGCTTGGGGATGCGAGATGACTCGGTTCAAGTACTCTTTTCGGACTCCGGGGAGGGCTAAGAGGCAGTGGTGGACCGGGAGCTGGACTTCCCCAACGATGTGGAGGCGGTGGCGGAGAAGGAGATCGTAATTACGGTGAATTGAGCCGCCGAGGGAGTTTTCGACAGGCAAAACTGCTCGATCGGCGATCCAGAGCTCGACGGCCTGGAAGGCGACTTCGAATTGATCACAGGGGATGGCCTCGCATTTCGGATAGGCTTTGCCGGCGGCGGCTTCGGAGTACGCGCCGGGGACGCCTTGGTAGGCCACGCGCAGCTGGGAGCCGTGCATAGGAGCTGGAGAGTAGTCGGTGATGGTGAGCGCCCTGGGAGGCGGAGGCGGCGAAGACGACTTGTCGTCTTCGAGCTTTTCGATGGGGACAATATCGAGGTCAACGGAGGTCTTGTGGCCGTTGACCGAGGCGACATGGTCAGCGGTTCCGGATTTGTCGGAGGGGGTATGGGGTTGCTGGGAGACGACGTTGCTGGCAAGAATGGCGCAGGAGCTCTGCCAGTCGGCGCGACTGGAGCCGACACCGTTGGGGAAGTGGACGGAGTCGGAGCGGTAGGCGCATTTAAAGACGGGGAGTCGGGTGGGGGCGAGGCGGGCGAGGCGGAATGCGGGGCTCGTGAGATTGTTTGGTGAGGGCGGAAGAAGAGACTGCATTGTGTGGCGTGTTGGGAACTCGGATGGAATTTAGAGAAATGGAAATTGATGTATTGTTTTTTTTTTTTTCAACTTTTTTTTTTTTTTTGGGGGAAACTGAAAGCTTGGTGTTCTCCTTGGGAACGTCAAGCTGAGACGAAAGGAGGGTGGCGATGGGTATTTATATATCGAGAGGGGAGAGAGAGAGGGGACGAGTCCGTTGCGAGGAGGTGGAGGGCGGGTTTGGTCAAATCTCACACCTACCACCCTCGCTCGCCTAATGCTCTCTCATTTCTTACAATATTTTATGTTTGCCTTTTATTTATTTATTTATTTTGGCTGTGCTAATTTTTATTATTGTTTTTGTTGGATTTATTTTTATTATATATTCGTTGGATTTTATTTTTATTATTACTTGGGAAGAAATAATATGTGTCACGTGTTAGCTCTGACCCTCGGTCGTATTTTTTTGGTTTAATATTGCTTTGAAAATGTTGGGAACCTTCTGTAGACGGACAAAATGAGAAGTGCGATGGCTTCTCAGTCTTTTGCTCATTTTGCATTATTGCGCAACGATTGTAATTATTTACTTTTAACGTTGTAAAAACTTCAGTGTTTAACTTAGATGATTAAATGATTTTGGGATTTCGTTGATTCTTAGTAGAGTTTAGTCTTTAAAGGGTGATATTTAAAAAACAAAATGAGAAGGTTCAAATGAGAAAGAGAAAGCTGCTAGCATTCTTCAAATTAGAGTAGAGGCTGAACGAGAAATTGAATTTATGGAGATCACTCAAAAAACAAATCGATAACAAGCGTTAAGTTGCTTATTTAGTTCAAGAGTGAAGTTAGGGCTATGTTGGGGGTGATGATTGCTAAGTTCTTGAGGATTGAGGTCGAGTTTGTAAAGAATGGATCACAAAAAATTGATAGGAGGGGTTTAAAAGTGCACTCCATGGTCATTAGAAATGTATGTAAGAGGCATTTGCAAATAACAGCTTAATAAGGAAGATCAAACATAAGGAAATGACGTGATAAGAAATCCATTGGCAATATCAAACATACCTGCCTCAACATCATACAACAAAGAGAAAAGAAAAGAAAAGAAAGAAAAGAAAAGAAACGAAAAGAACATATATATGTAGGGCATGGTTCAAATCTTGTGTTTGGTTCGAAGTAGAATGCACAAACAAGATATCTATTCATCACTGCCTTGAAGTAACTTTCTGTTCTAAGTCTAGAAATATCCTAGTACAAGAAAAGGGGAGTTCCATAGCAAGTTATCAACCTTCAATTTGTTCATGGCACCGGATAAAGTATTAGAGAAAATTGGAGCATTGGTAAATATTGTCTTTCACATAAGAGTTAACGGGTTCGATTGGTTTTTTGGTTTAGTTGACTGGTGCTGAGATATTTTAATTGGTCCTTTTTTTGTTGGGTGTAATCGGAACAATTTAGTAGATTAAATTTGGACCAAAAACTGGTTCTTAGCTTGATCGTTCAATCATTTGGTTAGAAGTCGAACTTCAATTTAGTTCTAACCTCACCAGTTCTTGACTTGGTTGGCGGCCCACCTGCGCGCTATATCTAAAGAAGGAAAGCAAAACCTCCTTAGCGGCCTCTCATGCCAAAAATAAGGAAACACTACCAAAATTAGATACAGGTATATGTAATATAATACCCCTTCCAAACTTTAGGTATAGGTACAATGCCATTTGATTCTTCTATTGCTTATTTCCCAACCAAGATTTTTTGTGATATGAAATAATGTCAAATCAAATGGAAATATCTTTAATCACCATGATGCACCTCATGTTAAAATAATTTTTACAAACCATAGCTTGATCAACAAGTACTATATAGAGATTTCAAAGATGGATCTTCCACTAGCTCCCAAGGACATCTCCTTACGTTACACAATTACTAGCATGTGATAGATTTCTTGTTGTTCATTCATGTGTATATCTATGCTAATACTATGAACCCAAACAACACACTGTCGAGCCCTGTGAGTTAATGAGATTTTTAGCTGAAGTCAAATTTCATATCTAAAAGCACGTAATATTTGATTATGCATCAAGTAGCGAGTTAGTGAGGGTTTCTAGGTGAAGTCAAATTTTATAAGAAACTTCATAGCTCAATTCCTCATTAGGGTTTCTAAGAGGTAAAGAAGCTTTATAGCTCAATTCCTCAAGTAGCGAGCTAGTCTTTTTTTTTTTTTTTTTGTCTTTTTAAGACTATTTTGTCTTTTCTTTTAAGACTATTAAGTATTCCACCAAAATGTTATATGGTATGTATAATTACATATAATTTATATTTAAAATTAAGTGTCGTGAGGCTTCGCCTTCTGCCTCAAGGCTTTGCCCTAGATGGAGGTTTCCATAGAATGTCTCGCCTACACCTTCACCTATTTAAACATTTATCCTAATTGGCTTGATGAGTTTGTTATGCTCTGAAATACATAATATTTTGATTGGTTTAGAAAACTAGAACTTTTGAAATGTTGGATCTATTTTATTGAACTAAATCGAACTAAATTGATTAAAAATGATTTGCTTTTAGTGGTGATACTGGTCAAAACCAGACCATTATTCGAGGAATGCTAATTGATTTGGTTATACTGTTGGTGTCAAATCGAATCAAAGCAAAACACGGTCACCTATACTAACCTGACTCAAATTCTCTTTCTCCAAGATGATTATAAAATAAAAACATCAAGGGCATTAATTAAATTTAGGGCAAATTAATTCTTAAAGGAGTATTATGTGACCGATTAAGCGGTAAGAAACTACTGGACATATGATATGAGGCTGGTTAATCACATCTCAAGAAATCTCGAAGGATATTGTAAGAGTTAAAACTTACAGAACAATTTAGGTTTGTCCATAAAACGTCATATTATTTTCACCGTTCGGTAGTGTCGTTAACCATCAAAGTCATGACTCAACGAATCATCATATGTGCACCTGCAATTATTCTTACTTGGGTCATGGGCTTCCGCATCCACTGAAAACCTACAAAAGCAATCGTGTCTGTAATTGGTTGAAGCTTTATTGTCCGAACCTCCGGCGGCCGGTCGACAACACACTCAACCAGTTAAGATCGAAGTTCAGTTTGTTTTGATCGAAGTCTTTGACATTATTTTTTGGGTAAATTACATAAAACTACCTTACTTATTGAGTCAGTCACAGTTTCGTGCCACATCTTTCAAAAAATGTCAATGTTATACCTCATCTTACGAATTTGTTACAATTTAATACATTCCATTAGTTTGTCTAACAATTCTTCCGTTAAATAGTGACGTGGCTTGAGATGGGGCCCACCCCTTATCCCCTCACCTTTCTTCCCAGCTCCCGTCTTCCCCCAACCCAAAACCAAAACCACCAAACCCAGATCCCACCCGCCTTCCCCTCCTCCACCTCCAGCTTCTCCTCCCACTTATCCACCTTCTTCAACTGCGCCACTTCCCCCCTGCGCCTCAACATCACAACCGCGGCCCTTCGCCCAATTTTCACTTCAGTCTCGCGCCTCCACTGCCTCACTAAAAAGGACAATGTTGGCAACTAAAACGCTAATAAACCCATCGCCATCACTCAAGCTCCCAAACAACCCATCCCTCCGCCGCAAACCCTCATTTTCTCTCTCAATCTGCAACTCTCTCCCCCAATCCCCTTCGTCTCTTGATCCCACTTTAGGGCAACTCCGAGTCGACATCCTCGCCAAGTCTTTCCTCTTCATCCAGAAATTTCGAGGCAAGACCATCATCGTCAAGTATGGCTGCACCACCATGAAATCCGAGTCCCTCCAGGCCTCCGTCGTCAACAACCTCATCCTCTTTTCCTGCATCGGCCTCAGGCCTATCCTCATCCACGGCGGCGGCCCTGAGATCAACCTCTTCCTTCAGCGCGAGGGGGGGAAGTGACGCTGTTGAAGAAGGTGGAGGAGCGGGAGGAGAAGCTGGAAGTGGAGGAGGTGAAGACAGGTGGGATCTGAGTTGGGTGGTTTTGGTTTTGGGTTGAGGGAAGACGGGAGCGGGGAAGAAAGGTGAAGGGGATAAGGGGTGGGTCCCCTATGCAAAAAAATAAATAAATAAATGATTTTATTTTTTTAGTTTTTAATATTTAATTAATTTTTTTAATAGAGAGTGGGCCTCGTCTCAAGCTACGTCACTATTTAACGGAAGAATTGACAAACAAACTAACGGAATGTATGAAATTGTAACAAATTCGTAAGATGAGGTATGACATTGACATTGTTTAAAGATGGGGTATGAAACTATGACTGACCCAATAGTTGAGGTAGTTTTATGTAATTTACCTTATTTTTTTATTGAAATTTTTATTGGTTTTTAAGTTTTGATCGATGTCTTTAACATTAATGTATTAATGAATTTACATGTCAGTCAAATATTTTTTTTTAAAATAAAAATTGGTAATTGATTTAAGATTGTAATACTCACATGTTTGTTAATCTCATAAATAATTTACAACATGATTATTTAGTTTTGATTCTCCTTCTTTAAAATGTACCAATTTTTTTAAATGTAAAATGTACCAATTTTTTTATGTAAAATCCATTCAATTATCTTAATCATTTTTTAAAAGGAAAACTAACAAAAAGTCCAACAAAAACTTCCCTTTTAATGAAAAGTCATTTTTAAATGTATAGTGAATAGTATCAGGAAAATGTATAAATGTGGTTTTTCGTTAAAAGTGAACAGTACCATGAGTGTTTTGTTAAAACTCTCTTTTTTAAACTTATATGTCACATCCTGACCCGGTACGGATCACTTCCTGGGTCCGCACCACCACCGTAGCACAATATTGTCTGCTTTGGCTTTACCATTCCCTCACGGTTTTGTTTTTGGGAACTCACGAGCAACTTCTCAGTGGGTCACCCATCATGGGATTGCTCTAGCCCCCTTCTTGCTTAACTTCGGAGTTCCTACAGAACTCGAAGCCAGTGAAGGTAGGGATGAGAACATACATTTAAGGATCACACCCTTAGGTGACTGTGGGATGTCACATATATGAATACATTATTATTTTTATTTGAGATTGTATCAATATCAAGTTTATTCCAAAAAATTATTAATGATATTAAGCCTAATCTATTAC